AATTTTTTGGAGGCACCATTGTACGGATTTAGAAACTGGTGAAAAAAACTACTATTATTATATTATACTATTTATTATACTACGCTGTTTGGAGATATTTATCATAAGTATGGTTTTTTTTCAAATGAATATAATCAAAAGTACACAATTATACATAAACATACACTTATATAAAAGTTTTTATGTTTACCATGAATATGGTAAACATACAAATTCATGGTAAACATACAAGTACCAAGTGTGCCACTATTCTTTCATTTAATTAAAACATTTGATTAAAAAAACTAGTGAATGTAGTTACGTATCCAAAATTATTACTTGTTTAGAATTAATTAATAGATTAGTACTTAGCAGTTAAATTCATATAAAGTGACCGCTCCCTACACGCACCCTCACGGTCGATTTTCTTTGCATGTTGTATGTCTGTTGGTTTTGCTTGTAATATTCAGTTACGTTCGGTATGTACATTACGTTACCACAGAACATACGTACACAGAGTTATAAATAGAGTTGTTCCGTCCGTACTCAAACCATAACAGACCAGTCCATTATCTTCCCGCAACCAATAAAAACTAAAAGGAATTTCAGAGCTGCTGACACGCGTTCCCGCTGTTCAATATTGTTGATCTGATTACGCAGCTAGGAAATACTAGTAAGTTCATTAAATTTATTAACACACTAGCCAAATAATTGCTTTACAGTTTCGATTGTATAAAAAATAACTTTGGCAAGCAGATAGGTTTGTCTTTCACCGGGACAAGATTTGGTCTATTGTTAGTATTTGACAACTGCGAGGAGGCACTTCACACGTAACGTCTGATAATTATAGTATAATGTGCATGGAATATATATAGTTATACCTATTACGTAGTTCGTACACTTTACACAATCATGTATGTATGTGATTTTTCATGTATGTATTTTCATGTATGTGATTTTTCATGTATGTATTTTCATGTATGTGATTTTTAGCCCTTCATTGTCTCATCTTGTGTGACTCGTAGGAAATCTGTGCGGTACTTCAATTATAGCATTTAATATTGTTTTTCATAACTTATATAAATAATGAAGAGGTTGTAGGACAGTTCTTAACGAAATAAATTCAATTTTCTTGAATGTGTCGTGTGTGTGTGCACTGTTTTGCCGAAGTACCTGTTTTTACATTTTCGCTAATTGTGCCGTAATCTAATGTTATTTTGCGACGAAAATTCTACTTCTTCTATAACAAGGATGTGCCTGTAGATTTGTGATTAAATCAAATTCTTACATAATATTGGACTTGAATAAATTAAGTCTTTTAATTCCGACTTCTTCCCTATTGCAATTATACGTTAAATATATTTATTAGTAACTGTTGTCGTAGTCCTTAAACTTTAATGGGATATTTGTGAGATATTATCACCCTAGGATATGATCGCTCTCTTTAGCCTGGACCCTATGGGGCTTCTGTACTTCCGAAAAGCTACTCACCAAGCCAGCCTCACCATCACGCATATATATGCGTTTATGGCTCGATATCAATACTCCAAGTTAACGGAGGACATCAAATCTGCTATGGAGAACGGCGAGCTTACTGTCCTAACACTTCTAGACTTCAGTAAAGCATTCAACCCAGTCGACTCTCACGTTCTACTGTGTATATTACAATACTTAATATATTTCCAACAGCGATTAACTGGTTCCACAACTACCTGTTTAGTCGCCTGGTCGCCGACAGCGCCTTAGTATTGAATACGCTGTTTCTTCTTGGTGTAGTACTACAGCCGGTGTACCACAAGGTGGCGTGCTATCTCCCTTACTTTTCTCTGTTTTTATCAACACCATCACTAACGACCTATCGTCTACCTACCACCTATGATGGTTATCTAATGATCTTCAGATTTATACTAGGACATCACCGGTTCATCAATCTGGCTGATGTTGTTAACACCACAAACGCTGACCTGGATAAAATATGCAAGCGGAGCAACTCCTACGGTCTGAATATTAACACATCCAAGACGCAAGTCATTGTCGTTGGAAGTTCGAGCATGATCTCCAAAATCGATCGGACAAAACTGCCTCAAATCTCTTGCAATAGCATACCTATATCGGGGTAAAGAACTTAGGAATTTACAAATGTGGAAACTCTCTCGGATGTCGGCGCGAGAGGGTTTTTTTATTTTGCTTAACACATAACCAGTCTCCTCGCATAACTTTTCGTAAATTCTTCAAGAACTCCACACGCAGACGTCGCCTCTTCGCGGCTGGCTACTATAGTGGATGAAGGAGAAAAACCATCCAGTCCACCCGAGGCCACGCTCAGGGCGGCATGAGGCGCTGGTAAGGGCGCCTCTGCCACCCGGTTCGCCGCCTCCTTCTGCGAGATGACGTCTTCGCAGAAGGAAGGACTCTAAAACATATGTTACTACCGGCCAGCGAGCGTGTGACGGCTGGTAGTGAGAGATACTCTCCAATGACTGCAATGAGGACCCGACGCTATACTAGGCGCAGTCCTCAATGCAATCTCAGTGGTGACAAGCGGGACTCAGTCCCTCCTAGCGACCAAGTGCAGAACCTTCCTGAAGCAGCCGTGCCCGGCAAGGACCTGTGTCAGCCGGAAGAAAAGGGTTCCCGTACCGGTGCACCATACAGTGCCATTGACCGGACAACACCCGTGTAAAGCCGTCTTGTAGCGACGCTGGCTCCACCTCCACCCACATTGGACAAAAAGCACCCTGGAGCAGAAGCAGTGCCGACCAGTTTTTGAGCAAACTGCTGGAAGTACTCGTCGAACAGCCACCTCCTACCTCCCATCAAGAATCAGGCCCAGATACTTCATCAGGGCCTGAACCGGTACGAGGACCGAATCAACCACAATTTAGGCGCCAGGAGGTGGACTACGACTAGGCATAAGGCGAGGTTGTAGACGATTCGATTTGCCCCGCCCCGCCGCATACCCCCACGGTAAAAATGAGGGTACTCAGCTACAAAAGCTGGTCTTTGCGCCGACTACGCAATTTTCTACCAACATCAACACAATCATTTCATTCCCCTTCCTCTGTATTGATCCATATTTGGAATATGATCATGCTTCTGATTAATCGTAAAAAGCTAAAGTGGTTAGTTTTGATCTCGGAAACATATACTGGCTAATTTTAAAAATAGAAACTTTTCGATTGTGTATTGTTTTCATTAAAATAAAAGCTATAGTTTTTTCCGATTTCATGTGTTTTCGTTGCTTGATAAATTTGGTCTCACTTTTATCATTTCGTGTTATACAGTTCTTGAAAAAAATTAGTGGTGAGTCATTTTTTATGTTATGGATCGTTTTGGAACCATTTGACAGCGGATGAAATGCAGAGAGCTGAAGGAATGCTACAAGCGGGAAAAAACCCAGGTCCCAGGTAACTTGGCATTTTGGTGTCCATAGGAGCGTGAGTTATCGTCTTTGGCAGCGTTATGTTAATACAGGGGACCTTGCTGAGCAGCGTCCACGACGTGGCACTAGTACAACTGCTCGACAGCACCGATACATGCAACTGACTGCAAGACGTCGGCCGATGTTTAGCGCGCGGGAGATAGGTTTAAAGCTACACTTCTCCAGCAGTGTTGTTGTTAGCCACCAAACCGTGAGAAATAGGCGGCATGAATAGGGCCTGCGAATGGTGTATGGTCCACTTGACAATAACCCAGGAGCAATGGGATAAAATTTTCGGATCAGATAAATAATCTAGTGTGTGCATTAGTACAGATAAAGAGTAATTATTTTGAGATTGAAAACGCTTCCACCACTAATATTGTTCTTTTATATAAATTTACAACCCCCATTTTGCACCCTCAGTGGTAGAATTTTTAAAAACCTTTCTTAGTGCGCACATACGTCACCTAAGGAACATTTGTGCAAAATTTCATGCTTCTAGACCCAGCGGTTTTAGCTGTGCGTTAATCGATTAGTCAGTGAATCTGTCTGACAGTTTTTTCTTTTATATACTCGTATATACTCGTTGGTATTACCGAAAAAGGCATACCTTTAATTTACATTCTTTTTTTTTACTTACATATTTTTTGATTCCATAACCGCGCGGAAACATAAAATGTGCTTCAAACAAAATGTCTTGGAAAAATTTAAGGTTACTACATCACAGACTCGTAAAATTCTATAAAAGAATAATAAAGTCAAATTTTTACATTACATTTACATTTACATTATTTCACAGACTCGTCCTTTGTCCCTTTTAGCCCTTTTGAATCCGTGTTATATGGTAAAGGTTCAATTAATTACGTGATGGCGAATAGCCAACTATCATTTGTTTTGTTAATTTCCTATTAATCTCGCTATCGGTACTTTCTCTGGCAACAAATTTTAGCGCCTTTTTTTAAACCACTAGGTTGATACTCGTAGATAACTAAAGAACACGCATGACATTAATAACGTTAGTATTGATATAAAGATTTAACACATTATTTATCGTTATTTTATTATTAAACATACTCGTTCTTATGTCCCTACAATTCGCCTGGTTCATATTAATGCTGTTATTTAATTAAAGTAATGAAAGTATCCATTAACGACCGTAATTGTATTTGCTGTTATCATGCTGTTACATCACTTAAAGAGATAAGGGCGCGTAGAGTAACGACATTATTTTATTTTAAAACTTGCAAATCTTTACTCTAGATAAACGTTATATTAATTCTTTCTATTATTACCTATTATGGTATGGTCTCCTAAAAGGTTTTAAAAGTACGTATGTATGTATGTATGTTCATTGTACAAAAGCTTCGAACAGCTTCTTTCAAAGCTTGCTAAAAAGTTACCTGGTTAAAAGAAGCACTTTGTAAGAAGCTCTTAACAGATGCTTAACAGTTATCGACACGGAGCGGCACGGAATTGCAGATCGAAAATATATTTTTCCATTTATGGAAGCCATGAGTTATGCAAAATTTAAACTTTCGCAGATACAGATGTTGACGTAATACAGTATCAATATTACAATACCGTTTTGTTTACTTTACAGTGGGAGCTCATTTGAGGGTCAATGGCAAAACGGCAAGCGGCATGGACTGGGCGTGGAGACCCGTGACCGCTGGTTGTACCGCGGCGAGTGGACGCAGGGCTACAAGGGCCGCTACGGCGTGCGCCAGAGCACGATTAGCAACGCCAAATACGAGGGTACATGGGCCAATGGATTACAAGATGGATACGGATCGGAAACATACGCGGATGGTGGTCAGTATTATCTAATTTCTTTCATTGCCAAACTGTTGGAACCTAGACAAAAATATATATGTATATTACGTTTACATGACCATGGCATTCTTAGGTAGGTAGATTCGTTTGTTACGAGAAAATACATTATTGTTAATCTGATGATAGCACACAAAGCTATTGTTTTAATCTGAAAATAAACATCTAAATCTGGGTTAGCTAAAGCTGCTACTTGTTTCTGTACTCGACTCTACTTTACTATTTACAAAATAATTTCACAACTATTTGTCGAACAACTCGATTCTCGCGGCATGACCCATATATCGTAACGTGAACTAGGAAGCAAACCCTTGACTTGCGCAATGTTTGGTTTTAGAAAATAATATCAGTAAACAAAACATGCGTCTGAATGAAACATCAATACCACCACGCGGTGTATAGTGAAAGTTAGTTGGTGTTAGAGTGGGTTTTGGTCGATCGTCAATTATCTATACATCTATTCAAATGAATAAAATTGGAGTGTCTGTTTGTAATGTTAAAATAATAGGTTTTCTTCATGCTTATACGGTTATTTGCACGATGCCTAAAAACCAGTAGAATTTTTTTATTGTCTGTCTGTCTGTCTGTTTGTTCCGGGTAATCTTATAAAGGGCTGGATCGATTTTGATAATATTTTACTACCAGGTAGTTGTCTATATAAGGAGTAACTTAGGCTATTTTTCCTCTCAGAAAAACCCTATAAAATTTTGCCCGGCCCAATAAGGAACCGAACCCAATAAGGAACAGAACCCAATAAGGCAGCGCTTTTCAAATTCCACGCGAATGAAGTCGCGGATACCAGCTAGTTAGATATAATCGTGTGATTCACAGTTAGTTGTAGTGTTTTTTTTTTCCACATTCACACAACGCCATCTAGTCCCAAACTAAGCAGAGCTTGTAAATACTATGGGTACTAGACAACTGATATAAATACATATATACTTTTTTTTGTAAATACTTACTTATTACACAGAGAAACATCCAGACCAAATCAAACATTAAATGTTCATGCACACAAATGTTTGACTTGAGCGGGAATCGAACCCGCGACCTTTGGAATAGCAGTCCGTTACACAAGCTACTACGCCATTCGGTGGTGTTAGTTAATTATAGGTAAGTTTTCCAAAAATAAGGACAGATTATGTTACGACTTATTACAGTAGTTATATCCAAATGAAATAGTTTAATGGAAAAGAAAACCTTTTCACTTCAAAGAAAACTTATCTTAGGAAATTCTAATCCGTAATTTTACTCATAAATATCAATCGTTTATGATTATGTTTTCAACAGAACTAGCACTTGACGTCGTGTAATGGGTTCTAATAAGGAATTATTTGGCATTTAACCATTTCTATTACGCGTTTAGGAAGCTATCAATATCTATATCACGTGACCTACTCGTATAGAGTAGCAACAACTCTATAGACATGATGTTTATTTCATGAAACATTCCAATTGGCGAAAATTAAACTAATAATAGATGACATCTTCTTCTTTTTGTACATCGTTCAGCCATGTAACATAAATCTTATATTTATGGAAGATACATAAAATAAATCTGCATCATTATTATTATTTATCTAAAAGTTATCAAGCGCTCGTTATAAATCGGCAAGCTGTATAATCGGCAAGGCTGTCTTAGGCTTAGGATAGATACATATACCTGTTGTATCTAACAATAGGTATAACAGATATAAATACATGTATTAATTAGATAAGCAGGCTTGAATGGATGCGTTTAATCGGTTACGATTACGACAATGACTTCTTTCGACATATCTGTTGTGCAATATTATTTTGTTATATCTTAGTCTGTTAAAGTCAATGATTTTTTACAATTTATTTAATACTTTATGCACAAAACAATATGTACAAAGATGGACTTAATGCCATAGGCATTCTTTGCCAGTCTACCTTGGGGTGGTGTAGAAAGTGAGTGATTAGGTGCACTAAATTTGAGTAAATATACAATATTTGATCAAGAAATTCACAGACATTATACACAAACAAGAGGTAGACACGCCAACAACGCAAAAAACGCGCGGCTCCTAATTAGGACCACTGCGAGCGAGCGCAAGTACTAATTTATTCGAGAAAATGCATAAAATGCCTTCCTGTGTATCTCAAAGTGCACAAATTATAACAATAAGGTTAATAAATATAATCAATTTATATCATATCATACCAATCAATATCATATGACAGGTAAGTTTATGTTTTGTTATAAAATGCATTAATAGATGTATACGGTACAAATATTTTCTGCGTGCATTATAAATATAACGTATCTTCTATAAAATATCATTGGTTAAAGTCTTTCACTTTTTACTTGAGTATATCAAAATTGATAACTAATGGTAACGAATTATTGTAGAGCTGAGCATAGTACGCGCAGAACCAATTGTAGTTATAATTGGTAAAATGGTTTTGGACAGAATTAACTTAAAACACGAACTACTAAAATATTTTTTTAGTAGGCTTTTCTAAATTATTATGTTTTACAAATTCCTTGGGAACCAGAACACACATTTCTCTTCTAAGCCTCATCTACAAGCTGTTTCCAAAAGTCATCACGAACCGACTTGTGCAAAAAATCAAAAAATTCTAACCACCGGAGTAAACTGGGTGTCGGAGCGGATATGGCACCATAAACCACATCCACGCAATGTGGCAGTTTATACAGAACACCGAAAAATATAATCAACCCCCGTGTCTAGCATTCGTGGATTATGTGAAGGATTTTGACTCGATCAAAATCTGGTGTGTTCTGGAGTCAAGTAGATTTGCGATACATCCAAGTGATGTCTCTACGAAGCGGCCAACATGTCTGTCCTAGTACAGAATCAGCAAACAAGGCCTATAACATTTCATTGAGGAGTAAGACAAGGGGACGTCATTTTCATGAAATTGTTCAGAAATGCAATGGAGAACATGTTTAAGTAGCTGCACTGGAAAGGGCGTGGCATCATTATCAATGGCGAATATATCTCCCACTTGCGATGACATCGTCATCATGTCAGATAAGCTGCAGGACCAGATGCTGAATGACCTGGCTGACTCTTCTGTACGCATCGGCCTACGGATGAACTTGGATAAAACCGAGGTCATGATCAATGAACATGTACTACCTACAGTGCCTAAAGACAAAATGACTGCGTCTTACTCGTCATGACATGCGGAGCCGAAACGTAGACACTTACGGTACGGCTGCTTCACAAGCTCAGCGTGCTATAGAAAATTCTATGCTCGGCGTGTCTCTAAGGAATCGCATAAGGAATGAGGTGATCTGGCAGAGAAGCAAAGTCATCGACATAGCCCACCCGATTAGCACACTAAAGTAACAATGGGCTAGCCATATTAGCCGCAGAACCAACAGCCGTTGGGGTAAACGATCCCTTGAGTGGAGACCGCGTCTGGGCAAACGTAGTGTAGGACGCCCACAGGCCAGGTAGTTACCTTTATATTTATCATTAATTTCAATATTTATAATATCCTAAATATGCTAATTTATTTTCTGTTTTATATACTTTATTACTAGTTTATACCCACTTCTCAGGTGTTCCTAGAACGGAACTTTGTGTTTGTGTGTTTAATTAACCTTCAGCAATAACAAGGGCTTGTTATTGTTTAAGGTTTCCACAAAGTCGCTAATTAAGGCCCGATTTAATTGTAGTTATTTTCTGTAGGATTATAACGTTATATCGATGTAAAATAGAAAAAAGATAGTATAATAAGGGAATACATCGCTCTATGTATTCGCTTTACGAGGCCCCCGTGACGATGGAGGCACTGGTCACGGGCCCCGTGTGCTCTTATGGTAAAGACGGTATTGATAATCAGTATCTATAAGCCAAAAACAATCTCACGTATTAGATTCATTTTGTATGTATTGCTAATATATTTTTTACCTTAATGTTTATCTATGATGCGGGTACCGCTTATTAAGCTATAAATTATAAATAAATTATAAATGTGTTTATTACCTTGACAACGGATTCAAATAATTTGCCAAAAATGTGACCTTGAATTTTTACACACACGTACTTAGTTCCGCATAACCTCAAAATCTGCATAATAACATTTATCAAAGTGCAACTACGCATTTTAGTGAAAGCAGTTCGATACATAAACTATGATTTAGAAGCTTTTAAAATTTAACGTACAACAAATAACGTGGCGAGAAGCAAACCTGGACTTTACGTCCGTAATAACGTGCAGATACCATGAACAAACGTCATCACGCCGCCCAGCCATACTGTTGAGTCATAATAACCCTGACTAAGATTTGTCATTCATAAAATTACAATGATTTATTTTAAGGTTTACTTTTCAAATCATTTTGCTCACAATTTTACGTCAGGTGTTTATTTAAATGGTATGGAAAATGTGTGTATTTAAGTGTACTTGTAAAATCTAATATCAGATTTCAGACTATAAGTAGGTATGTATTTAAAAGAAAATCAAGATTCCCACATAGTGACCACCTAAGGTCATTTAATTATTATGGTAAGGTTTACACTTAGTAGATTAAATATTTAACTTATAAGCGTAAAATGCATTAGGAGGAGACTGGCTATGCCTGCCAAAATGAATAAATAGTGTAGTCTTCAACAGCGAGAACGAACATCATGTTCTAATGGAATTGTTATTGCGGATATGGATAACAAATCAATCGATAATAGATTGGAAATGTAGATAAAAACTACGTAATTTTCGAAGATTTTGTTCGAGATCTGGCAACAATTCAAAAGATCGCAGACTCGAGATCGCCTTTTAGTTTAACATTCCTGAACAAAAGTACTTGACATAAAGATGATGAGAACGATTTATGCTTGGGGTAACTGATTTTTCATTGGTTTTCTTGATGAATGATCGAGCTGTGGCATAAGGCGGGCGTACGGCTCTGCGCCGCTGCCGCCGGGCCACGCACGGCTCGCACGGCCCTCGCTGTTTAAATTTAGCACAGGCACGCCTGCCGCGCCACCTCGACACACAATCGTGTCGACCACTCATTTAATACCAGCCACTACAAAAATTACCCATCACACCGTAACATTGCAAAGTGATCGTTTCAACTTTAATTACTTCCATTGTAGTTCGAGTTATAGCAGATCAAAAAGCGAAGCACTTGTAAAATTATTATAATAAAAAATCAAAAATTATCCTCTTAAAACCAATTCCTGTAAAACAATATAGAGCATATCACATGCACAAAATTTGAGGAGCAAGTAGCCAAGTCTATTTCCTAAATTGTCAAATATCGTCCTGTGTTCCAAAGGAAAATATTCATTCATACATTGGTATCTGGGCTCACCCACGTAATTTGTAGGCGTAAAATTACTTACCTGTTTATTAATGGCTACTCTACCTAATAGAAATATTTATTCTATTCTTGAATTATTTTAAGACGAGAAGCTTTTTAAAATTTTTGAGATTTTTGCAAGACTCAAAATTTTTCAGCTACGTAAGATGTTGATATTGGTAATGTTGACTGTTGTTATTAAGAGAGAGGGAGAAAGTTTTTTTTTATGAAGAGACTGTATCTACTGCCCTAACAAATTAGGACACCCCTCTACACTATAAAAAAATGTGACCTCTTACTTATACGAAATAGGTAATAAGAGAACCATAGCACCAAGATAAGCATAACATTTAATTTCATTTGAGTAAAATAATTTTCCTTTTCGGCACGCCATCTCAGGGGGCTGTTCCACTAGTCTCTACTAGCTGTCCCTCCTGGTGGGGACAAGTGGAATTTACCAGTAGCCGGGGAACCAGGTGTACCCTAGGAAGGAAATCCCTGGAACCTCGACTTACCCAGGGCCGTCTACGGCATGTAGATGACCCCCTCGTGGGAACCACGGTATTCCCTTTCTACAAACTAAAGGGTGCGTCGCGCCAACAACCCGGCGTGTTTCTGCTAGGGTGACAGATGACCTCACCTGTCACCCCCATGCCTGCGCTTATGGAAGACGGAGGTCGTCTGCGGCGCTAATGGCCGCAATCATGGTACAAAGCGAGAGAATTCCCACTCCGATGGCTGTCACGAGGTCACGCCTCTGCTCAACCCACGCCGGGTATTCTGCCAGCGTGTGGAGCACCAAGTTCATGGTCCGGCCATCGCAGTGGTAACATCCAGGCGTAGGCTCCTTGCGGATCAGACGCAGGTGATCCCCAAAGCATCCTTTCCCGGTGATTACATGCGTCAGCCAGTATGAGAGGGTCTCGTGATGCCTCTCGAGCTAATTCTCCATAACGGGTCTTACCGCCGCAATAACGGCGTGCCCGTATATACTTATAACCCTTTTTTAGTGTCCTTTTTTTGCTTACTTCTAAATTTCACAATTATTAAATATATCAATGTGTACCGCTTGCCAAGATTGGCGTATATCCTAACTTAAAGTATAGGTAACTGTACCTAGAACCTACTTTAGGTTAATTGTGTTTTGCTTCTCTAGATCTTTTTGAAATAATTCTCATATTTTATTATTTACGCGTTGTGTGTATTCCCAAAAAATAGTCTATTCTAGTAGTAGTAGTTTTAGTTCTTTTCATTAGCTCATTGGCAAGGGACGCCGATGAGTGCATTAATTCCCCGTGTAAGTATTTTAGGAGGCGAGTAGTAAATATAATGTTAATCCATTTTTCATTGAAAAACAATACGAGTACAAGTGATTCATATTAACCGTGAACTATGAAGTCGGGTACTTTTCTATACCCTGTAATTTTATTCCAATTAGACGATAAAATCTATTTTTAATATACACTACATATTTGCTTTCAGTGAAACCAACCAAGACCCAACTAATTATTGTTTGTAAAGTCACACGATCTATTCACAAATTTCGTGAAATCGACCAATAAGATGGCTACGCCACTTTTTTCTGTTGATGCCAAATTTGCATTTGCAAATGAGCCATTTCAGTTTTCTTGCTCCGATTGCAGGATTGCTTGATGATTGATGAGGAAGGGTTGGGTGTAGATATTTTTATTTTAATCTTACTCGTAAGGTTTAGCTAACGTTTGCAATGTAAACAAACAAAAACATGTTTTTTACGACTTCACATTACAAATCTTTGAAATTCTCGAATTTTCTCTACTATACATGTATTTTAAATGTAAACCCGCTTCTTGAATAAATGGTAAAAAACAACTTATCCAAGCGTATAAGAAAAAAAAGTAACTTCATTTTGTACTACTAGCCATGCTTTTTAAGTTCTGTCGTTTGCATATTTTACGGCAATTTTGAATTTGGAACTGTTCTATATTCGAATGTGTTTAAGTTTTGAATCTCAAAACAGTTGAAAGTATTAGGATTAATACTATTGTTTAGCCACAGCGTCGATTGGAATCTGTCAGGTTATGTACGAAAATGAATCTTGCTAAGGAAAATGTTCGTGTAATAATTTTCTACAACTTTAGAAGAGGCCTGACACGGCTTCAGTGTTTTGAAGAGCTAACATCTGTAATCAGTGATGAAGCCTCATGTCTGCGGACTGTCGAACGCTGGTATTTAGAATTAAAGCGTGGACATACTAGTGTTAGTGACAAATCTGGCAAAGGACGCCCAAAATCCGCCTTCACTGAAGATAACATCATTTCTGTGAGACAACCAATTCTCGAAGATCGTCATGTGACGTATCGAGAGATAGAAGCTGTATTAGGCATCTCAGGGACAACCATTCAGAAGACCTTGCTGAAGCGCTTGGTGTGAGAAAGCTAGTTTGCCGCTGGATACCGAATCTGCTTTCCGACGATCACAAGGCGGCCCGCCGTAGATGGTGTAAGAAAACTCTGCAAAGGTTCAACCGAGGAGAGTCAAATCACGTCTACGACATCATCAGTGGTGACGAATCTTTGATCTATGCCTACGATCCTGATGCCAAACAACAATCTACAATCTGGGTCTTTCAAGACGAGCCAAAGCCGACTAAAGTTGTTCGTTCTCGAAGCACTTCAAAGAAGATGGCGGCCACGTTCGTTAGAAAAACCGGCCATGTTGCGACTATTGCACTTGAAGATCGTAGAACGGTTAACGCAGAGTGGTATACTACAGTTTGTTCAGTCATCGCCGAACTTCGAAAATCTAACTCAAAGCGACTAATCATCCTGCACCACGACAACGCAAGCTCACACAGCGTTCGTCAAACGATTGAGTATTTGAAGCAGGAAAAAGTAGAACTTCTAGACCATCCTCCATACAGCCCTGACCTAAGCCCTAATGATTTCTTTACATTTCCTGAAATTAAGAAAAGTCTTCGTGGTCAAAGGTTTCAGTCCGGTGAAGACGCAGTCGACGCTTTTAAGTCAGCCATTTTGAACACCCCCACTTTAGAATGGAATAAATGTTATAATAACTGGTTTGAGCGAATGGAAAAGTGTATTAAGCTACGTGGTGAATACGTCAAAACAATAAAAAGTACTATAAGGTTCTAGTTGTGTTTTTTTCTTCAAACGACAAAACTTAAAAGGCATGTCTCGTATGTACTTTGAGCCACCCAGTGGCTCTAAAGCACTTCTAGGTTGTTTTACATAGGCGAGGCGTGGATGGGCCAAGTGAGAGTTGCAATTTGTATGTCTAAATTTCTATTCACGACCTGCCTGCCCATCTTTGGTGTAAAAGGTGTAGATGCGCGGGGATGTGCGAAGCGAGAATTTAAATATTTGTTAGTGCAAATTGAACTTTATGGTTCTAAAAATAGAGTATTTATTTACTTTGTAAAACAGAAATACAAATCTCGCAGCGGCCATCGAGATAGGGCATGGTCTCTCTCCTTCGAGCAATGTCGAGCATCGCTGTATACTATACTCAAGCTCACAGTGCTACTTATAATTTTTTTTTTAGATTTATTTATTGATAAACAATTCTTAAAATAAATAGAAGTACACAGCTCACTTATTTTTCACTTAATGAATAACAAGAAAAGCTTTGGGTGTCGTGATTTATAATTGTTTTAATAAACAATATAATACATTCTAAGATGTTTTCTCATAACTAGGTAAGTATATTATGTACAATGCGAAAAATATTGACTATTGACCAATACTGTTGTCTTTGCAAAAAGCGTAGATACAAGGATATTTCAACAGCTCTAAATAAACAATAAAGTTGAAAAATAAGTATTCAGAACTGCATTATTTGATTCCAGGTACATATCAGGGGCAATGGATGCGGGGATTGCGGCACGGCTACGGTGTACGGACGTCGGCCCCATTCGGGCTTGCATCACACTACCGTGGAGGTGCGCGGGGCCATCGAGGCTCGCTGTCCTCACTCAACGAGGCTGGTGCCTCTGATCCCTCTGAACAGAGGGCCTCGCGCATGGATGACGCTCGCGGTGGTTTTGTTCTCACTATTAGATCGGACCAGCCATCGGGCAGACGAAGCTCACTCGTTGGAAAAACTAAAACAGGACTGCTCCATGTAAGTTAAGATTTTTATTAACTTTAATTTTCGATTTCGCTTTTTAACTAAATTAGATGAAACTCGTCTTGATCAATCGTTAATGCATTTAGCAAAGGCATTTACTTTTTTAATTCAGCTTTTTAATTGCACTTCTATATCTTCTATATCTATATCTGAAACGAAAAAAATAATTTTAGACACCTCTACAATTCGAAAAATGCACATAAAACAAATGTTAGCTAGAGCATATATTCATTAAATGCATTTTTAAAACCGAGACAAACAAAACCAAAATTCAATTAATAATATCTTGAATCACGTAGTCCGTTTTTATCGACAAAAATGTTATAAATCAACTCCACTTACTAAGACGACGTATACGTGTTTTCAGAAATGGCGCAAACAGCGCAGCGTTGGCGACCTGGACGGGGCCGGCACTGGGTCGGTTCACTCCGGGGGCTCGGGGGGCTCGGGAGCTTCGTGGGTCTCTTCGGTAGACAGCACCCACTCTGCTATGACCCATGCCTCTTTGCACACAAACTCAAACGCAAGTTTCGTAATCGAGGTGGGCCTTTACTCATTTGGTTTAAGTCACTAATTAATCAACCCCATTATAGTTCGCATGTTGATGCAATACCGTATTGCCCTCTGCCCCCGGGAAAATCCCTCGTAGCATGTCCCACTCGTGGTGTCTCCTCGCCACTATTTCACAATTATCTAAACCCATCCCAATAATAAATATTGCTCATTCTGTATACGGTTGAAGTATACCATCCGACCCTCGACTAAAATAACTCTGTTGTCATATATGTATTGTGACAAATTTATCACTAGCTCTGGCATCTAAATATTCACAATGACACATCCCTCACCTAAACTAATTGTAAGAGAATAATTAACATATATTTACATTTAAACGCATTTAGAACAAAAGGAATTGCATAATTCAAAATATAATTTATTTAAAAAAATTGTCTTATTAAAAAATATACCAGATAACGATAGCCTTCAATATTTTCTGTAAAATTTTAATGAACAGAAGTTAAAGTAAAAAATGTGTTTTGGTTTTGTTTATCAAATGGTGAAAATATTTTAAAACAGCCTACCTAGCGTTCCTTAAAAATTTCAATTATAATATTACAATTTAAATGTTGTCTATGTACTATATTACTAATAATACTAATTTTAAATTTTTATATATATATATATATATGTATACGTAGAATAGTTTCTGACCGTATGAGAATTGATGTACAGTACAGGGTCACTGGGTAAGTCGACCTAAATACTTTAAGAGGTTGTAGTTGACAACCATTTCTGATAGAATTCACTATGAAATACCATATCCCAAACTTAACCATTTTCAAGATTTGTGATTTTTTAGGATTTTTCTAATAGTTTTGCCTAATACAATTTTTTTAGAACTTAAATCCTTTATTGTATGCTTTTTTACTGTTTTTGTGCACTTGATTAATTGTTTTATAATTTCAATTACGAAAATTGTAGTGAACTTTTAGTGTCGTAAGGCTCGAAATCACGATGGCCAGTACACCAGTTTGTTTTACGTGTTGTTGTCAATAAAACTGCCGTATGTGTCTCACAGAAATAAGATTTATATTTAACTTTATATGCAATCACTAATTGTTACAGTATCCATTTTGTAGCAAGCTAAAAGAATGAATGTCATAGACACGAGAGACTGACAGGCAATAGTGTTGCACTGTCATGATGCTACGTATTTCAATCATAGTGATGTGCAACAATGTTGCCACACCACCCCCCCACGGAGAAAAATAACAAGAAAAAAAAACAAATTTAACTAAAAAAACATAAAATCAGTCTAAAGTTTTAAATCTAACACGCCTGCCGGATCGGGTAACATAAGGAGTTTGCTGAGTCGTTGTAGAAGAGTTCTTGGGTACAGCGGCGGATGAAGCAGGCTCAGTAGACATATTGTCAGCCTGAGGCAGTACAGCAGCTTCTGGTGGCTTGTCCAGCAGCTGCTGGACAGTCCTAGTTTGATCCGAAACTACATTTTCAACGAATGCTGGTTTGACTCTGTCGATACTTACCACGACCGGCTTGCCTTTGAAATTGATGGTAAGGGTCTTACCGTCGTCGGCGCGGTTGAGTACCAGATAAGGTCCGGTGTATGGGGGTTGTAAGGGACGCCGAACAGCGTCATCCCTTAGAAACACGTGAGTGGTATTGGCGAGGTCTTTAAATATGAAAGGCATGGTTTGGCAATGTCGAGAGGCGCCGACGGGTCGAATATTCGACATGCGACGGCGCAATTGAGCAACAAAGTCTGATGCGTCTTCAATTTTGTCAGGGCCAGGAACAGACACTAACAGCTCACCAGGCAGGCGTAGAGTTTCGCCATAGAGCATTTCGGCGGCTGTGGCCTTAAGGTCCTCTTTGAAAGCCGTTCTCATTCCCAAAAGGACAAAGGGAAGGGCTTTGATCCACGAATTCTCGTGACACATTAAAGAGGCCTTAAGTTGCCGATGGACGCGCTCTATCATGCCGTTCGCGGCCGGATGATATGCAGTGGTACGAATGCGTTTGGTGGCAAAGTTGTGCATAAGACGGCGAAACAAATCAGACTCAAATTGAGCTCCTCGGTCGGTTGTTATTAGCGAAGGCACGCCGAATCGAGGGACCCACTCCCTTGTGAAGGTGTCAGCAACTTCCTCTGCCGTAGCGGTATACATGGGCCAAACTTCGGGCCATCTGGTAACCCTATCAATTGCCGTCAGGCAGTAACGGTACTCGGAACAAACCGGTAACGGACCAACGATGTCCGTGTGTACGTGCATGAAACGGCCAGATGGTGTTTCGAAGGTGCCCAGAGGTGCAGAGTTATGGCGCGTAATCTTGCTGCGCTGACACGCTTGGCAAGATCGGGACCAAGCTCGGCAGTCCTTGTTGATGGAGGGCCAGACATATCGATCAGTCACAAGGCGAGTAGTAGCCCGAGCACCAGGATGGCTTAATCCATGGAGCTTGGCAAAGATTGCTTGGCGAAAATCCGGAGTAACGTAGGGACGGGGCTTGCCTGTTGAGAGGTCACAAATCAGAGAATGGTCAGTGCCAGGTATTACAACTTTGGTCAGTTTAAGGCTTGAAGAACAGTCTGTCATGAGTTTTGACAGTTCGTCGTCTGTCTCTTGTGATTTCGCGAGAGTCTCATATTCCTGTTCTAATGAGATTGCGTCAATACGGGACATAGCATCTGCAACGACATTGTCTTCGCCTTTAATATATCTTATGTCAGTCGTAAACTGACTTATAAAGGACAGCTGGTTTAGCTGTGCAGGCGCGAGCTTTTCTCGACGCTGTACGAAGGCGTACAGCAGCGGTTTATGATCCGTATAAATAGTGGCGTGTTGGACCTCAAGAGTATGGCGGAAGTGCTGTACGCTTTCGTACACCGCCAAAAGTTCTCGATGGTAAGCAGGCCACTGAGACTGTTGCGGGGTTAGTTTCTTGCTAAAAAATGCAAGAGGAAACCACTGTCCATCGATTCGTTGCTGTAAGCAAGAGCCAACATGTACGCTGGAAGCGTCCGTAAAAAGACCCAGCGGTGCATCGTTGACAGGATGCTGTAGAAGCGTTGCATCGGACAGACTCTTCTTACATGCCTCAAACTTTTCTAGCAATTCCGGAGACCAAGGAAAAGGTCTTGCTCCCTTGCTATTCGTCGAAACCAGAGCGTCAATTAATGGCGCCTGAAACTTAGCGGCGTGGGGTATGAAACGGCGATAGTAGTTGATCATACCAAGAAATCGCCTCATCCCTTGTACAGTTTCAGGCGGTGGAAAATCCATTAAGTGTTGGACCCTATCTTTAGGAGGACGAGTCCCCTCCGCATTTATCAAGTTGCCTAAGAAGGAAACCTCGCTGGCACCAAGAATGCATTTTGAGGGGTTTATCACAACCCCGTATTCTTGGAAACGCTTAAAAAGAAGGCGCAGTTGTTCCTTGTGAGTGGCAGCATCCCGAGAAAAGACGAGAACGTCATCTACGTAGGGAAAACAGAAATCGAGACCCCGTGTGACCTCATCGATGAAACGCTGAAAAGTTTGACCAGCGTTTCTCAAACCGAAGGTCATGAAAGGGAATTCGAAGAGGCCAAACGGAGTTACGATGGCGGTCTTCGCAATATGTTCCTTAAAGACGGGAATCTGATGATAAGCCTTCACAAGGTCTATGGTGCTAAATACAGAAGCACCAGCGAGGCTATTGGCAAAGTCGTTGATATGCCTAATAGGATATCGGTCCGGGATTGTTCTGGCGTTCAAGGCGCGATAATCGCCACATGGACGCCAGGAATTGTCTTTCTTGGTTGTCATATGCAACGGAGATGACCAAGCACTTTCTGAAGGACGCGCTGTGCCACATTGTACCATGTCCTCGAACACTTTCTTGGCAGCGACCAGTTTCTGAGGAGCCAAACGACGGGGACGACATGACACAGGGGGACCCTCAGATGTGTTGATATGATGCACGGTACTGTGCTTGACAATCCTTGGCATGCCAGGAGGACGCGTGACGTCTGGAAACTCAGCAAGCACAGACGCATAACTTGAGTCACCAAAAGAGACTGCTTTAATGCTGTCCTGGTTAATTTGTGCAACACAAGCTGAAACAAAAAGTTTGGTATTTCCATCAATGAGACGTTTGTTTCGACAATCTGGTAGGAGATTGTAAAAACTGAGGAAGTCAGAACCGATGATGGGTGTGCTCACATCAGCGATAATGAAGTTCCACAGAAAGTCGCGGCGTAGCCCTAGATTGAGATGTAGGGAGATGTTGCCGTAGGTCTTGATCGAGCTACCATTTGCAGCACTGAGATCAAACTCGCTGTTACTGTAACGGCCTTTAAGTAAGCGCCTAGGGAAACAACAAAGGTCTGAGCCAGTATCAATAAGGTACTGGAACTTAGACGTTTGGTCAGTCACAAAAAGGCGGCGGCCGGTGAAGGAACAATCAGTAGCCGCCTCTACTGATTGTTGTGCACGTTTCCCTGCTGAGGTGTCCATGCGCAAGGTTTAATGCATTTGGACGCTTTTTCATCAAACTTTTTATGGTACCAGCATACCTTGTTTGATGCACCAGGTGTGGAGGTGCGGGAGCGGCTAGAGGACGCCCTGGAACGACTGCGTGAACGTCCAGGCTTATTTTTTGTGGACAGGGAAGCAACTTGTTTGCCTAATTGTTCCACTCGCTCAACCAACGTTTCCAGGACTGATGATGAAGTGGATGGGGCAGCGCAAGTGTAAATTTGATTGGGGCTTGCGATTTCCATGACCTTGTCAGCCAACTCCGCAAGTTTATTAAGGTCGAGATCCAATTGAGATGCCAAAATGGCTTGAACCTGTTGAGGCAGACGGCGAAGCCACAGTTGTCGCAAAATGTTGTCATCTGACAAAACGTTGCCAGACAATGAGCGTAGGTGTCGAAGAAACTGGGACGGTCGTCTGTCACCGAGCTCTTCCTCACCAATAAGTTGGCGAACTCGTTGCTCCTGTGACAAGGAAAGTCGCCTTATTAGTTCTTCCTTTAATTTTGTATACTTAGACCCTTGACTTGGAGGCGCTGTTATAATATCCTCCACTTCACCAGCCAGTTTCTGGTCCAGTTGTGAGATAACATAATTAAACATTGTGTTATCGGCTGTGATGCCAGAAAGTTGAAATTGTGCCTCGACCTGGGCAAACCATACTGCAGGTTTGTTAGGCCAGAACGGAGGCAATTTCACGGACACCTTACATACCTCTGCCTTATTTTCTTGCTCAAGCCGAAGCAGGAGAGCAGCTTTCTCGGCTTGCAGCTGTAGGATTTGTTCCTGTAAATGTTCAGCCATGGCTAAAAGATAAAATACCAAAGACCAACAGGCGTGCAGTGCGAACAAAACACAGGCAAGAAATATTTAAAAGGGGGTGCTGTAGCAAAACTGACACACTAAAATGCAAATATTAGGTAAGTATACAAAGCAGGCAATGTAAATGTCCAAAAACCAATAAGTTACAACTTAAACATTAACAGAAAAAATTAAAATGAAGCTTAAACAAAATATTTTACAAGGTTATGGTTTTAAATAAAATATTTTACAAGATTGAAATCAATCAAAGGATGAAAAGACTTTTTTTACAAGCAGTCCTTACAGGTATAAGTGCTGTTAAAAAAATAAAATAATAAAATTAATATTAAGGTGCAAAGAACACACTTTACACAATGTTAGAATAAGTTAAAATATTTTAGCAAAATTTATGTTGGTACAAAAGAATAGAAAAATTTCTAATTGAGTCAAGCTATACACCCTGCATACATGCTTTCTGGTTGCAAAGTTAAAGACCAGTAGAAACAGAGCAGTAAAAGTGGACAAAAATATAAAAGGCAATAACGTAGCACTTTGTTTACATTTGTAAGAAAAGCAAAGTTACAGATTAGTTGTGTGAAATAGTGACAAAAACTTACCGAAAAATACAAAAGAACTTGTAGCACTATAAAACTAATTACTACTACGTAAATTAAACTAAACTTATAATATACACAAAATATTACAATTGGATAAAAGTTTGTTGACGTTTTTTACTATAACACTCAGTGACGACCATAGAAGACCGAATAAAATAACGTATTCGATCTTAGAGTTATTGTTCGTAGAGTAAAAATAACGCAAGCGCACATCTCAAATCGATTGAAAGTATCACTTCTCGACGGCAAGTATGGATGGCGTTGTCAACCCGTTGGATCCTATTTTAAATAAAATCTTCGGAGATGAAATATAGGCATTTCCACTGAAATTGCGATAAACTTTATGTATTTCAGCACGGAGAACACAATTGTAGGCAAAATCCGTCTTGATTGCGGAGTACCACACAGAAACACCGAAGCACGATTGTTCACAGCGGCACGCCGAGGCAAACCGGTTTTTTCTGGTTAGAGTGGCGTGCGTTGGGTGAAATAGTTTCGAAAACCGTGGATTGTGGGTGTTGCCGCTTGGATATGTTGCAATAAACGCAGGATAGATGGAAATTATCGGTCGAGGCTGCAGTACTCGATCACGAAGTCCAGTTTGAAACGTAGGTATGCAAATCCGGCGGGAACTCGACGCGACGGCACGAGGGAGTCACCACTTTAGTGTCGTAAGGCTCGAAATCACGATGGCCAGTACACCAGTTTGTTTTACGTGTTGTTGTCAATAAAACTGCCGTATGTGTCTCACAGAAATAAGATTTATATTTAACTTTATATGCAATCACTAATTGTTACAGTATCCATTTTGTAGCAAGCTAAAAGAATGAATGTCATAGACACGAGAGACTGACAGGCAATAGTGTTGCACTGTCATGATGCTACGTATTTCAATCATAGTGATGTGCAACAATGTTGCCACAAACTTAATAAACAGGGCCGAAGTAGATGGTTAATAATATAGCAAAAGCCCAATAACTTGAAAAAGGGTTAGGTTTGGGATATGGTATTTAATAATGAAATCCATCAGAAATTATGGCAACTACAACCCCTTAAAGTATCTAGATGGACTTACCCAGTCACCCTGTATATGTATTACAATTTTAGTTTACGTTCACGATTTGGTGCGCTACCAAATGTTTTTTAGTTAATTTTTTTTTAAGACAGAACAGCGTCTGTCGGGCCCACTAGTGTATATATATATATATTAGCGTGCCCCCTATTTTTCAAAATTTTAAATTTGTAACGCAGAGGTCTTCATTTTGTTCATTTGCTTCAAAAAAACACTCATAAATAATTTTTACCTTATTTGGAGTATGATAACCCGTCACGTCTGGCCAGCGTGATATAGTAGGCCAAAACCTCCTTTCTAAGGAGAGGACTATGTCCAGCAGTAGACTATTAAAGGTTGTTGACATGTGATGTGAACCCGTGCCGACTTGCATCGAATCATGTTCATACATGTTGTGCGGCAGTAGCGGTGCGTATTCGCCTTATTTGTCAATTATTCTCGCGATTAACACGTATTGTTTTACATTTAAAAGGTGGCGGTGGAATTAAGAAGCAATAAAGAAAGTATTTTTTTAGTTGGTGACGTAAATTATCCAAGTTACCGTCTAATCATCAAGTTCTTCGCGAAGTTAAGTTGACTGTTAGTGAAAGCGCTAATAATCGTCATTCGGGAGCAAAGAAAAAGGGGACAAAGAAAATTAAATGAAGAGAAAAAAATATATGAGCAAATGTGCTTCGGAGGTTTATTGTCATCTCTTAGTACGCAAGATTCCTATACAAACGCAGAGACACTTACCAGCTCTGATGAAGGCCTTGAGGAACCCTTGCCATCAACCTCTCAAATGGTAAGTTCTGAAACTACTACAAAAAGAGGAAAGAAAGATTAGAGAGCTTTAGATAGATGTCAATTAAGCATAAGGGGTTTTGTCTCTATACTTCATGTTGTAGTGGAAGCCCTAGACCTTAGCTGTGATGATTTTCCGATAAACAAATCGTCCATTCAACGCATTCGCACACAGAGTCGAAAAGATAGAGCGGAATCTATAAAATCAGATTTTCAGAATAATATGCCTGAAATGGTGGACCAGGATGGGAAATTATTATCCCGACTTGACGTGAGAAGTTCTAATTAAAACCGCCTGGAAATTCTAATTTCAGTGGAGGAATGAACAACTTCTGCCTGTACCCAAACTGCAGAGCTCTTCCGGCCAGGATCAAGCAAAAGCTGTGTTGAACGCACTTTTTTACTGGAACCTCGATGACAAAGTACAAATAACGTGCTGTGATACAACTAATACAGGTTGATTGAAAGGAGTTTGTGTACTTTTGGAACAAAAACTAGACAGGGAATTACTACTCTTTGCTTGCCGCCATCACGTTTACGAACTGATTTTAAAATGTGTTCTCGTATATGTGAAACCATGGCTTGGATGCAGTCTGGCGGTGAAAGCACTAAATCAAGATTTGTGCTTTTTAAAGAAGCTGAAAGAATATGAAACTGTTGACAAATTGATCTTCAAAGCAGCCCTGAGCAAGTTTAATCAACATCTTTGGTACTAGTCAGAAGAAATTGTCATTTTATCACTCTTGAATGATAAAGTTAATGAACAAACTAACACGAACATTGTAGTAAACTCACAAAGAGAGAGTTTGTATGATTCTGGGAAGAGACACATTCCATTTGAAGAAGATATGTCTGATTATTTGTGTGGTAAGTAGAAATACAATACATAGTACTATTTCTTTATACTGTTTCAATAAATTGATAATTATACTTAATGTTTCAATTAATTGATAATAATACTTATAACCTTATTTATTGTTGCAGGAAAATCATTAAGTGATTTTGTATCTGTCAAAAGCACAAATTTATTTTCTCGATTGAACATTGATAAGAATTGAATGAAGATGTTGCCTATTTAGAGGCAAAAAGAAAAGTGCTTTCTTTAAGGGCAGTTAGTGATACAGCTGAAAGAGCTGTAAAGCCCATGCAAAATTTTCATAGTTTGATCATTGCAAAGAAAGAGCAAAAGCAATTTTTGCTACGCTGTGTTCATTAGCATAGAAATTTGTATCCAGACTGAAAAAAGATACCCTGAAAAGAAAATATCCTGCCTGATCTGTAATTTTATCTTTTTATAATAAATATTGTATAAAATTTAAATATTTTATTTGATTTAGCAACATAACGGCAAAGGTTAAAAACAGCAATTTTCAAAATCTTCAGAGTTCTGCCGGCACGGGTTAATGTTGACGTAGGAAGATACAATTTTGCATATAAGTAAGTCTGGGTAGTTTAAAAAGAAATATGTATTTCGATATTTAAAAAAATAATTACACCCATATAAGGGACAACCTGATCCTGACAACCTGAACCTGACCTATATATATATATATATATATATATATATATATATATATATATATATATATATGATTCCTTTTGAAGTAGTAGTGTATATATATATATACTACTACTTCAACTACTGTAATCTGTAACTATAATTTAAAATTTGTTCTTGGGATAAATCAGAATTCTCCCTAAAGTATTTTTTTTTTCATAACAGGATGAGCATCTGGATGCCAGTGTCACAGAAACCTACCTTGGGGAATGGAAGAATGACAAACGCACTGGATACGGTATCAGCGAACGTAGTGATGGACTTCGTTACGAAGGAGAATGGGCAGCAAATAAAAAATACGGTTACGGTGTTACCACGTTCCGAGACGGTACAAAAGAAGAAGGCAAATATAAAAATAATGTGCTTATCACAAGCCAGAAACGAAAACACATGTTCCTCATGCGTTCGGCTAAATTCCGGGAACGTGTTGATTCAGCAGTAAATGCGGCGCAACGTGCATCTAAAATAGCATTACAAAAGGCAGATATAGCTGTTTCTAGGTGGATATCCATTAAATTAATTGCAAACCACCAATAACATTAAGTATAATTGTAGTTTACATAATAATGTTGTATTTGATAGTCCTGCTCCTAATTATAGGGAAGTAATGCATTTTAACCTCCTTTCTAAGGAGAGGCTTATGTCCAGCAGTGGACTATTAAAGGCTGTAGCAGCAATGCAATTTAATACTTTTCAACATCAGGCTGTAAGTCATAGGAAAAAAGAGGTTATAGGTAATGGGAACAAGAATTAAAATATAACAGAAAATTTCGAAAAACATGTCTGAGTAAAACTGATATCTGTTTCTTAAGAATCTTTGGGAGCTAATATTGTATAAATGTTCTGCAATTTCTACCTTTAGGCATGCAATAAGATTACATTAAGAAAGAGGTTGAGCTTATTTACTACATCATAAGAGGTCAGAATTCTATTTACATTTCAATATAAATTAAAATATCAATTACAATAAAATTAATATATTTTTAAATGTCATAATCGTAATAAATAATGTTATAAGTAATATGTAATATCACATTTATTATAACTGTATTATTGGTAGTATATTGTACTCATTAAAAAATGAATTCAATTATATTTTCTCCGTTAAGAGGTCAGTTACAGAATAGTACGAGGGGTGATCAATAAGTAATGATAATCGAGTATTTCTAGAACGCACAAAAACCCAAATTATTTTTTTTCTGCTTGCTTATATATCCACTACTTCAGCTTCAAAAAAATGTATAAATAGGACACCATTACCGGGAGATACATTCATTTGAATACGAACTGTCGAAGAGAAAACATCAAAATGGAGAAAAATGAAATAAGAGCTGTCATCAAGTACCTCTGCCTGAAAAAAATGTCTACCAAAGACATACACAGCGACTTAGAGGAAACATTGGGGGAGTCTGCTCCTCCATATTCCACAGTCGCACGCTGGGCAAAGGAATTTAAGCTGGGCAGAACCTCCACTGAAGATGAACATCGCGAGGGACGCCCTTCCACGTCCCTTACTGGAGAAAACGTCAAAAAAGTGGAAGATATCGTGTTGGCCGATCGAAGGGTGACCGTAAGGCATGTAGCTGAGGTCACAGGGATCTCCTATGGCAGCGTTCAAAAAATCATTGTCAACAAAATGCATATGAAAAAGGTCTCTGCGCGTTGGGTACCGAGAATGTTAACCGACGAGCAAAAAAAGAAACGAGTCGACATTTCGAGGGTGAATCTTCAAAAGTTCCAGGCCGATAAAGAATTTTTTTTGTCGCGTTTTGTGACCATGGACGAGACCTGGATCCACCACTTTGATCCCGAAACTAAACAACAATCAATGACTTGGAAACGAGCTTCCTCACCAACGCCGAAGAAATTCAAAGTGTCAAGTTCAGCGGGAAAGGTTAAAGGTTCTGTTTTCTAGGATGCAGAAGGAATTATTATGGTGGAATATTTGGAAAAGGGCGCCACTATAACAGGCTCTTACTACGCAGGCCAAATAAGAAGATTGCGAGAAGCTATTAAGTCAAAAAGACGCGGTAAACTGCGCGCTGGAGTGCTGTTTCACCAAGACAACACCCCGGCTCACAAAGCCGCAGTTGCGATGGCTGCCATTGAAGAAACGGGGTTCGAACTGCTCGAACACCCTCCCTATTCGCCAGATATAGCTCCCAGTGACTTCTACCTCTTTCCTCGGCTCAAAGAACACCTCCGGGGCAACAAATTTGAGTACAATAGTGAAGTGATGGCCGCAGTAGAGGCATTTTGGGAGGGTCAAGACAAAGAATTTTTTTCTAAGGGAATCATGGGCTTAGAAAAAAGATACACTAAATGTATTAACTTGCAAGGAGACTATGTTGAAAAATAAAATACTTTTTTTAATCTAATAGTTCTGTGTCATATTGATTATCATTACTTATTGATCACCCCTCGTATGCTTTCATTTCCATAAAATCTTTTAACTTGCTCTTGTATGCACTGGTAATCAAGTTCTTTCATTGCTCTTCAATTGTGTACTTAGATTTAATATAAAAATGTACTTACCACAAATTTCGTATCCTGTGAAAGGTGTGCGAGTTAATGACGCGTAGGTACTAAATAGGCAGTCGCAAGAGCACGGGCAATCACCTAGCGAATATATTTTCGTTTGTGTAGGTACTTCCGTCTAGACGTGCGTCAGACCATTAACAACCATTGCCCACACCCATTACCTCTTTTTTCCCTTATATGTTGAGCCACAAGATATCTTTTATGTTATATTGGTTGGACTTTTGACATCACATATAAATAAGTTGTATGAAACAACTGAAATGATAATGCAACAGTGCATATGTTCTACCCACTTGCATTGTTTTTTTTCCTTAAAGTACTTGTTTAAGATAATTAGAAAAATCACTTATTGTTATAGAACCTCGACGGCGCGAGGAAAAGCTGATCAAGCCGATGAAGCGGCAGACCAAGCTAAAGAAGACTGTGATATAGCGCAAGCTACTGCGAAACAGTTTGCCCCAGATTTTAAGCATCCAGGCTTTGACAGAATAGGATTAAGAGAAAAATATAGACAAAAAGCTTACGATACACAAGTTGCAACACCCGTTTCCCAAGACTCTGAAAAGGCCTTGGATGGAAAGAGCATTCCAAATCATATCCCTCCGATGCATTCGCAGATTCCACAAAATAATAAAGTCCCAAATACGGTATCTTCCAGAAGACCATCTACACAATATCCCAAGGCCGTGCAACCAGATCAAAGGCTTTACAATACTAATTATAATACAGATAGTAGAGCTCCCGGACCTCCTTTCGATCCATATTATACACCAAATCAAGATAATTGGACATCAGCGAGTACATCACCTCAACTTTCCCCTGATAATCAAAAACCCTTCCCACCAAATGAACAAATAAATTCATACGGACCTCCATCACAAGGAGGCCCTCAACAATCAGCTCCTAGATTTATAAGACAAGATGCAATGCAGCTTCAACATAATACAGACCAAACTAGCCAACAATACACCAACCAAGATAGAAGATTATCTTCAGGAACACGACCCCAATTAAATCAAAGGCCTACACATCAGGACTGGAATGCTCCACAAGCTCCTCCGCGACGACAAAGTATACTTGGTCAGCCACCATATGGTACTCAGGGCAATACGTATTTAGATAGCGGCACTTCGGGATATCGACCAAATGATGTTCGCACCGGAACCATCCATTCAGAAGGACCTCTTGATCGGCCAGCAATGGTGATGAACCAACAGCCGTATAGGCAGGCAATGGATACCCAAGGTTATAGGCAAACTCACGATCATCAAAGTTACGGCCAACAGACTGACCAAATGTATCGCCAAATGACAAATGAAAATCAAGGATACCACCAGACGGGTCCTTCTGACCAATCATATCGGCCCACTGCCCCTACTGAACAAGACATCGTCAATGGAGGTCGAGACCCTCGGCAACCTGGATCACGACCGTCTATTGACTATTTTGATCATTATAAAAGACCCCCTAGCAGAGACTCGAGTGTTGATCGTTACGGACGACGTTCACGACAACCTTCTGTCGAAGCCGCTCCAAGCGGGGGTTCCCGAGCTGGATCCGTAGCTCCTCAACCTCCAATCATCAATCAATCACGACCTCAGTCTCGTGCAGCTACACCAGCGGGCAATGGTCACCTAGCATCCGGACGAGGCTCTATATCTCGATCAGGTTCACGAGATCATTCGATTCAGCCATTTGAGGACTCACTCTTGAGAAAGCGAACGTTAGGTCAGGAAATATCACCGTCACCATATCAGCCAAAGCGAACAGAAAGCTTGTACGTGGCTCAACTCCCAGCGCCACCGCCACCAATACCTACGGGAGGCGGTGGAGGCGGTCGAAAGGTAAGTTCATAAAAAGATTAATTAATACACTCTATATAATATTATATATGACAAGTCGATACAAATGGCAAAATTGAAAGTATATTGAAAGAAAAGGCAGGTTAGAACTTCCCTTCTTGCTTAACTTTCCTCAATATTGACTTTCGCCAGTGGCAAAAAATGCATATTGCTTATAATGATTAGAGAATGTAAAAACTCGGGCAGGGCAGAGTCGCACACCTGTAACTCGAATTACCGGCGCTGTTATTTCATGTACAATATTCTGGTACATTACATAACTCTATTTAAACACGTACATATTACCTATATATTAATACGTGTAGAAAGTTCTTGAAACAATGTTAATAGAAACAATGTTATAAACATTGTGTTACAACATGTAGACGAAGTACCGAAATGTAAAATTATTAAACAATATATTCTGAATTTACAATAATGTAAAAACGACCAGACTCGCCGGGTACTGTTGTGCTGGAAGTCCACCGCACAAGGGTGGCAAAGTACAGATATCGAAACAAAAACGAAACATTATCATAATTTGCATGTCTAATATATTTTTATTAAGTCATGTGACATCTACACTGATCAAAGTACAATAATAAATTCAAACGTTTATAAGCTCCATATTACCTTGTAAAACATATGTAAATTGCAATCACTCGGTTCCCCGGCTACTGGTACCCTGGGGGCAACGGGACGTGCGGTTTTGGTCGGTTCGAGTCTGACATGAGGGGTATCAGAAGGGGTTTTTCCGCACGGAAAAACAGGCGGCTAATCGGCATTACACGCGGGCGCTCAAACAGTTAGCAACGGGCCTCAAAACGACTACATACAACGAGTGTTCAGTATCATGGTATAAAAGTGTAAACAATGATAGTTCTACTATATATGTTTACTGTTTGATACACTGAAATAAAACGAGATAGTCAAAATGGTTGAAAATTTACCGCCAGGCGAACTCTAGAAAGAATTTTGCATTGGCTTAACCAATGCAAATAACATAATAATGCATATAAACTTGTGCTGAGCGGAATTTAAACACGGAGCCCATTTTTACAAGACATTCGAATGCGCTCTACCGCTGTGGCTGTAGTTCGGTTTGTTTTTGGCCGAATATTTGTATATATATATATATATATATATACAAATATAATAATATATATAAATATATATGCAGCATTTTAACAGAATAACAATTTAGCATCACATAAGAACCGTCTATGTGAAAACAATATTGATCTTTTCATAAATTTGTTTGGCATTTATTGTTTTTCGCTCACACAACGTAGACAAGCATATAATTATACTAGTATACTTGAAAAATGCTATTTTAGTAACTATGTACATATAATAAACTACTAAGTGTTTATTATTTTATATAAATATAAATAATTATTTTATTGAAAATACAAGAATCATAATATCGGAGGAGTTTAGAAACACGGACTTCAAAACGTTTATTTACTAAAATGAATATTATTGCCAGTCATTTCTGTTCAGTCATATGTACCTACACTGTTTATCATCAAAAATAAGAAGCAAGAAGAGATCTAGCTGATATTATCGACCATCGACTATCATTGATGGCTGATTATTTTGAGAAGGTCCAGAAGTTCCATCCACTTCAGTTGTTGCATGAAGGGTAGTATCATCTGGGTAGCAAAGGTTTAATATATACTCTTCCTATTTAAACAAGCTCCCCAAACGTCAAGGTTTTAACACCCTACCTAATTTCATACCTACATTCTTTAAAACACTATTAATTTCGTTTACATAATGTAAGATGAAAATCTTTATAACATTGTAACTTCTGAAACTGACAAGGATTAAAGCCATTTATTGTATAACTTGTTCTTTCGCTTTTAAAACTAATGCAGATATCAACTTATAGGTTAATATCTGCGATAATGGTATAGTTATCGTAGAAAGTTTGTTATGGTAATTTCATATGCAGTGTAATTAGCCTTTAAAAGAAAATTATGATAAATTAGAAGGTAGTCATGTAAAATGTATCAACGTTAGAGAATCTCCCAAATGAGTTCCCAATAGAGTGGTCTTGAACACTCTTCCTTCAACGGTTTCCCGTAACCTAAACCCTGTGGTAAATTGATCTAGAGGGCGACTATTCTTACTAATCCGTGGTAGTTTCATATTCAACATAGCAATATAGAATGAAAATTTTCATCTGCCGTAATCGCTTATATTAATCTCCTTGGGTCCTCGAAGGCCTTGTTCGTACCGAATCGATTTTCTGGTAGAGAAACACATGGTAAACCTACCTTTACATATATCTCAAAGCGTCTTTCAGTTTTTTCTATTGTTTGTATATAATGACATAGTGATATATAACGAATATATTTTGTTAGTTTGGGATTAGGAAAAAGGTCTTGCGTAATGTCCAGAATACGACAGTGTTTTGCCGAGGTTGTGGTTAATATTTTGTTACTTATTGACGATAAGCCAACCACCAGCGAAAAATTGTACACATCATTACAAATCTGGTGAATTATATTTTTTTTTGCAAATGTTTGCTAAATAAATAAAACGATTCGAAAGCGTAAGATGGGTAATAAATTTAAATAAATCCAGATAGATGATATGAATCCTGAATTTAGTTTAAAAACAAGGTTAGCTTGTTAATTTGAAAAGAAAGTATAGCGGTCATTAATTGCATATTTCTAAAAGAAACATAATTTACGATATCAGAGTTAATAATAGAAGTTCCATAGCACTATTTTCTAAATATTTATTTTTCTGCCGGCCGGAGTTGTTTAACATGGAAATTAAATTAAAAAATAAGTGTTACTGAAATCATGTCAAAAATTAAATAATAATAACATTTAAGCACCTATTAACGTAAGGAACAAAATTAACCTCATTTGAAGTACAAATGTTGGTTTACGTGAAAACTTTAAGTGACAATTATTCAAAAACAAATAATCGATTATAAATGTCGCCTTAGCCATTAAAGCTTTATTTTACAGTTTTATAATCGTTTAGACATTACATTTACGATACCTAATAACATAACGACGAACATAATAACGAAATCGATTAGATACCTAATCGTGCTCCAAAGATGTTATCATTATAAAAGTAGGAACGGAAGATTTAAAACAATAGTCATTGAGACTAAATTAAACTGTTTGAAAGACGAATTGCTACAATGCATGCCACAAAGGGATAGATGTACGAATGGCATCGCAATAAGTTTAGTAATGACTCGGTTGTAGGCGGCCGGGCGGGCGACGACGGCGGGCGGCGGCGGCTTAGCGCTCAGCCTGTTCTATTTCTAAATTGAGACAGTCACTCGCAGCCGTTTTCCGCGTATCACCTCTTCGCTAAATATAACTTAAAATACTTTAAATTAAAAAAAAAACCTACTCGCTAGATAATATAAAAAACATGTAAATTTATGCAATAAAAAGTGGCGATAGAATTATGAAAGTTAAAAAAACATGAACGTTGTTTGTGACCCGTGATTAGTGCAATTATTTGAAAATGTGGTACCAAGGAGATGAAGATGAAGACGAGGACCTGTTATGCTCTCCGGCTATCCTCGCCCGGCGAGCATCAGAGAGTTGGATTAATGTTCCTCCGGTGGAGGTAACACAACTCGTATAACAACTATTTATTTTTGAGAATTAAATAATATAAATTTAAAGTCTGGTTTATCAAACCGAAGAAACGCAAAAATGCGTTTTTTATCACCACTTTCATTGATGCTAATGACATAATGTCAAAACAATTTATGAATAGGTACGACTTAGGTATATGGGAATTCGAACAGTAGAAGCAAAGTGCAAAAAACCTACACACACACGCACACATATTTGTTGCCTACTGTTACGACTCTATTAAAAATAGGCTTAGAAAAGGTGATGAATGAAATGGTATACCCGACCACTAAAGTTTCTTAGTCGTGAATTAAACAAAATTTATAAATTGCTCTATGAATGTTCAACCTTGAAACTTTGATATTTTATTTACTATACACATGTTGAAAGTCAGTTCCTGATTGCTTAAAGTTTAAATCATCTGACGCGTAATAAAACCGCGTATGACGTTGCAGCTAACCGGTAAATTGGCTACTATCGTGAAATTATGCATACCAATATAAAAGAAAACGGGAATACAATCATATAATTATGTGCTTTTGAAATAACAGATTCTATTACTTAAACATAATATATTACATTCAGAATAGAATATAAAGTATACTTATAAATTAAGTCTTATATAATTTTTCAGGATAAAGTACTGCTTTAGATATATAAACTGTCAATGATTCTAAATTGTATTTAACTTATTGCCTTTTATTTAACTAAACAAAACCATAAAAAGGGACAATAGGGAATATACAGGTATCATTTTTCTTTTTAACATATGCCATTTCATCGGAAAAAATACACATGCATCCAAAATATTAATTACTTCAGTAAAAGAACACCTACCCACTTCAACCAGTTTTGTTTTGTGTGGTTTTCATCTTTTTTTGGTTACTTGCCATATGCCAATAATAAGTGTTTCAATTAATATTTACTTAACTTGTAGAGGTTAAGTAAATGAATACCTTTGTTTTGTTTCGGATGAATGTAGGCACCTTCATCCGGAATATAACATAAATTATTACTCACCTTTACCAGATCGCTGATGACATAGTAATAAAAATATATGTAAATGCAAATTTTGTATACAGATGATAAGCCAACCACAGACTCTGCAGCGTAAAAAATCACTGCCGGATGTGGCAGGAATGCCAAGAATGCCGGACGGTGGCGGAATGTCCCGCGAGGAAGTCTCGGCTCTCGGCTCGGCGCGACGTGAGGAAGTGCGTCGCATCCACGAAGAGACCGAGAAACTGAGGGCCAACCCTCTGCTCTACTTAGTCAGTCCGCAAGTCAAGGTTCGAATTTCATTATTTTTTTAATATTGTCAGCCAATAAGCAATTGGACCCATCGTAGAACATTCGTAGCAGTCGCTACAAAATGTCTACGCATTTGAACCTTATTTAAAGATATTAAAAAGGAAAGTCATAAATATAATTAAACTTTTTCTTCTTTTTTAATAGGACTGGTTCTCCCGGCAGCAGCTGGTGATCCTAGTGCTCTTCATCAACATCTCTCTGGGGATCATGTTCTTCAAGCTGCTCACGTAGCATCGGCGTGTGGCGCATTTGCGCCTTTTCTTTCCGATGCCGTTAATGACACTTTTGTAAATATTTGTAATTTTTTAACCAGAAATAGTCCAAATATTATTTGATCTGCGAAAAACGTTTCAAATAACATTTATTGATTGTTCCTTTTTCATTTGAGAGTTACATTTAAACAACCAATGATATCGTATTTTTTTGTCAATAAGGACTTCAATTTGCTAGTGTACTTTTCTTTGGCGTTGTGAAAGTGTGCAAAGAATGACGAGACTAGAGTGAAAACATTATCCAGTTAATTTCGTCGAGCTAATAATTTCGACTTATTTTGTGCGGGAGTGAATTGAACCTGTTTTGTGTCCGGTAATCGGAAGCTACGAATGTAAGGAGAACGTTGTTCTATAAACCTGCATATTGTAGGTTTATTAATATGCCTTCAAGATGAAGCTTAACGACTTTATTATAATTTTAACAACTGAGGTTTGATTGAAACCAGATTTTTCGAATTCATGGTCATTTTTAAATGTGGAACGAAAAACAAATACCAAAATAATATTTACGACAGCCGCGAGGAAGTCGTTTCGTTTTACTACTCCGACACTGCTCTTACAATATTTTATGGCGACTATATGAATACCTACCTAACAAGCCGATATAATATATATAAAACCCTACTTACATTCAGATATTAGAAATTGACCGCATTAAGTATAAGCAGGTATGTCCCACCATTAGTGGAGTCATATATGTGGCCATTATTGATAATAAATGTTATTGTTACCTACTATGTAATTATATATTTATTTAAAAATTATATTTGTCAATTTAAATTGTTCGTGCTGGTTGTTAAGTAATTGAGATAGTTACTACGTACCCTGAGTGATAACAAAGGCACAAAGTTATGATATAGATATATATGTAGGAATCTACTTGTTTCGCATGTGTATATAAATAACAATGATATTAATTAATTAAAGTTTTATAAATATTACACGCAGAAAACATTAATACCTGTAAGTAGATATGTTGTTATGCTTGCAATATGTACAAGATGAAATATAAAATGCATGTGCATTATTTTCCTATCCTATTAAAGTTGTAATAAAGAATCTAGTGATGAATACTAAAATTTTTATACAAGATCAAATCTTCATTTTATACCTAAGAAGTCAATTCTCTCGTAATCGAATTGTTTATATAGTTCAAATTATATAGATTGTATACATAAACGATATAATTTATTATTATTGGCATGGAAAGCGTGCGATAGAGACTGTTGATACGTAAATATACCTACAACGAAATTTCATGGAAGCGCACATTCGTTGAATGGTTATATTGTACAGTTGATAAGACAATTTCACAGTTTCATTATTATGTAAAGAATATAAGTTATATCTCTAAGAATTTTAATTACTTGTATCGATTTTATCTACGTTTCAGAAATAAAATATTTTAACAAAATAATAACGATTTTATTCTTATTTATCTCAAGTCTAGGCGAAAGTTTGTATGGATTTTTGTTACTCTTTCACGCAAAAACGGCTAAACGGATCTGGAAATTTAATAATTTTCTCGTGGGATAAGCAATGTACAACAACAACTGCGGGTATAAATATTTAAGTGAGTTTATTTCCATGCTTGTTACGCTTTCACGCCTAAACAAAAAAAAACGATTTTAAAAATACTTTCCCACCAATGGAAAGCTATATTATCAGCGTGTAACATAGACTACTCTTTATCGCGATAACCGACATACACGCGGTCGAAGCCGCGGGCAAAAGCTAGTAGTAAATAATTTTACTGACAATGTTTAATGACTATGTATCTGCTTATAGCAAATTTTTTTAGCTTACCTTTTTTTTTCCGTGCGGAAGTCTCCTCGGATACCACCTATCGGTGGCATTTTTTTTATTTTTTTTTATTGGGACTAATCCCACCCACACGCCCACCGCTGTAACTCCTGTACACCAGGATCCACAGCAGTGACCCACGAACACACCGAGTTATGACACTCGGGAAGTCCCAGGAAGAAATTAAACTGTCTTGGAACCCGCAACGAAATTAATCAGAAGAAAATTGGAGGAGTTGGAAATACAGTAAATCCACTTCCCTCTTTAGCAAAGCGGGAGACAAAATGAAGTAAAATGGGCATACACCCTTTTAAACAGGGAAGCACCACGGCCACAAATATTACGGGTCCTACGTGAGCTATGTTTGATTTCTATAATATGTATGGCAGAATCGCCTAAACGCACGGACATTCACCCTAGATGACACAAGATCCCCATAGTATACCGCCCCAGATGTCACCTGCAAGCTATTCAGCATTATATTACGTTCATTATACCAAAGACTACATTCCCAGAGGATATGATGAGCAGACTGTTCATAGTGAGAGTTAGGTGTTGAGCATTGACACAATGGTGACTCGACTAATTTAAATGAATAAAGCTTGCTCTTAAAGTTACCATGACCCGTAAGAAATTGAGCGACACAGTGATCCACCTCAAGCCATATCCTCGACAACCGTTCGCGAACAGATGGGAAGAATTGGTAAAGATGGCGCCCCTTGGATGATTCATCCCAGCGTTGTTGCCATTCGTCTATGAGGTCGTTATAGACATCGGGCTGCTGTTGAAGCAATCTTGTAATTTTACCGCGATCCCGCGCGCCCAAAAAATCGCATTCCATGTTTTGTTGTCTTGAATAGTACATGGCTGCACGTCTCTGCACCTCGAGATCGACCGGAAGCACACCCGCCAACACCGGCAAAGCCTCAGTGCTAACCGTCCTATATGCCTTACACAAGAATATCAGTGCAAGTCGTTGGCCTTGTAACAGTTTGCGACGGACAGCGCCTACGGTCGCCCTATCGGCCCATACAGGTGCACCATAGCACATAGAACCTAAATAAGTAGCTCCGTATATGATCTTTAATGTATTAAATGATAGACCCCATGTCGCAGTTGATATCCTTGTCAATGCACAGAAACTCTTTTTAGACTTTTCATTAACTATTTTAATATGTTCGATAAATGAAAAGTTTCTTTCTAAAACTAATCCTAGATAACACACTGTGGTTTTATTTTTTACAGTAACATTGTCAAATCTAATGCTCGGCGGTGATTTGAGGTTACCTTTTAAAAGCAGCTGGAAGGTTTTGTTGGGTGCAAAAGTTAAGCGATTACGTTCACCCCATTGAGATATCAAGTTCAAACATCTATTGGCTAATCTCTCAAGCCCCGCCCTAGTATCAGATTCCACCAGTAATAAGCCGTCATCAGCATACGCGTTCAGAGTACATCCGGATGGTATAGGTATCGCAAGAAAATCGTCGAAGCCGATATTCCACAAGTATGGACCTAGCACCGATCCCTGAGGACATCCCATTGTAAGCGCCTTCGACACAGAATGATGACCAAGTCTTAGTTTAGATGTACTTTGTGAAAAGTACGAAGAGATAAGGTGGCATGTCGGACTCGAACCGACTAAACCGCACGCCGTCTCGGGTAGTAGCCGGGGAACCAGGTATACCCTAGAAAGGAAGTCCCTGGTGCCCCGACATACCTCGGGCCATCTACAGACGAGTAGACGACCCCCCCCCCCCCCTCGTGTGGGAACCCCATGTACCCTCTGCTCCCTGGAAGCGAGCGCGCTTCGCAACGCTTTGCTAGGGTGACAGATGGCCTCACCTGCCACCGCCAGGCCTGCGCTTATGGAGAACGGAGGTCGTTCTGCGACCTCCGGCGCCTGAGTCGCCTGCGGTACCTGCCCGTTCCCGGACCTGGCGGGCCGGGAGAGTTCTAAACCTCTCCCGGTCCCGCTCCGCCATCTCCTTCGCGAGCGTAACTTGCTCGCAGAAGGAGACGGCAGAGTTCCACGCACTCTCGCTCCGCACGATAGCCGGAGTTCTCTCGCTCGATAGAATCAGGCTATCGAGCGAGAGAACTCCCACTCCGATGGCCGCCACGAGGTCTCGCCTCTGCTCAACCCACGCCGGGCACTCTGCCAGCGTGTGGAGAGCCGTGTCCACGGTCTGGCCATCGCAGTGGTGGCACTCAGGCGTTGGCTCCTTGCGGATCAGACACAGGTGATCCCCGAAACATCCTTTCCCAGTGGTCACCTGCGTCAGTCGGTATGAGAGGGTCCCGTGACGCCTCTCGAGCCAATCCTCCATAACGGGTCTTACCGCCGCGATGACGGCGTGCCCGTTTATTAGCTTACCTATCTTTACTTATATTATAAATGTGTAAGTGAGGTTGTTTGTCTGTTACACTTTCACGCCTCAGGCGCTAGACCGATTTTAAAAATTCTATCACCAATGGAAAGCTACATTATCAGCAAGAAACTTTTTACCATAATAACCGACATACAGAGACAGACAAACAGTAATAAGGATACAACGATTTCATTACGACGCTTGCAATTATGTGTAACGATGAACTGATTGATGAACTGCGATGATAGAGGATGTTCGTCTAATCTACAATGACAACAATAACTTAAATAAAAAAAACTACGTTTAAAAAAACCGACTTCAAAAACTAAAAAGTATAAAATAACTTAATAAAGATTAAATTTAATACACCTCTTATGCAAACCTTTAATATTAATAAAATACTATTGTGTGTATGTGCTACCTATTGATAGGTTTCAATTCGGTGCCAAGCCAAATGTAATAGAAGGTGCCTACACTCGTCGCACGTGACTTTGAGCAGGATAGCTTCGTCTAGAACAAAACAACCCAAGCAGGCAGACGTCGTTGACGGTCGTCTCGAAATATAGTAAAATTTTGATGCGTTATTACCTAATTGATAGATTTGTATAATTTATCTCTTGCACGAAGCTCTATACAAGTTGTTTTCATAATTGTAGGTATTCATTATTACTCAACGTGTTGTGTGCTCGTCACACAATACGCAAACCAAAAGGTCCTTTTCAGGGCCACAAATATATTCATATATACGAATAATATAGGTTAATATAGCTATAGTTACTCATCCAGG